CAGATTAAGGGAAAAGATAAGAATGATATTAGTGAGCAAGAACAAGGGCAGTCAGAGTAAGATACCAGGATGTTTTCCCCCCACTCTCCAAACTGATGATCTTACCCTAGAAGCCCTTGACACCCATTTCTTAGCCTGAAACACGCATATATATAGTGAGAAGCAACTCATAAAGAAAAGTATATTCAAACCCTAAACCCTAAACCCTAAACCCTAAACCCTAAACTCTCAACTTTGTTCTCTTAAATAAAAAGGACTAAATTATCCTATAAACAAAATAAAATTCTCAACTTTATTAGTGATGATAAATAAAGTTCTCATAACAATTTAGAAATATAGGTAAATGTAGCTTGTACTCAGCTTATAAACAACAACAATAACAACTAAAAAAGGCCTTACATTTGTGGAGGGGAGCCTTATGCATTCAATGGAGGGGGAGTTAAGCCTTGCGCGTATAAATGGAGGAGTTAAGTAGCAATTATTGACAAACCCTAGCAATTACAAGAAACTTGTCAATATTAACTAAAGACCAACTCCTCAAAAACCATAACAATGGAGGAGCGCTATTACGACTTACCTAGCAATGAGGAGCGCTATAACAATGGAGGAGCTGCTACATACTTCAATAATGCAAGCATATATGGAGGGAGGCAGAAGAGAAGAGCTGAGTGCGTGCGTGAGGGAGGGAGGTAGAAGAACAAACCCAGACCCACTGCGTGCGTGAGGAGGCAAAAGCTTCAATGGACCCTTCAATGGAAGCTTCAATGGAGGAATGGTTTGGGGAGAGCTGGGGGAAGGCGCGCGTTTTTGGAGGTGAAAGAAAAAACAGAGCTGAGAGAAGAAGAACGTTTGCACTTGAACGAGGGAGTATACAGTAGCTTAGTATTCAAAAACCCGGGTTTTTTTTTTAAATTGGCAACGGTTAACCGTTGCCAACTCTACCCCTTTTATTTATTTTTTTAAATTTAATCAATTGGCAACGGTTAACCGTTGCCAATTGTAACCAATCTATTTTTTTTTTCAAAAAAATGGCGCTCACTTAATTTGGCAACGGTTTTCATGAACCGTTGCCATAGGGAGGTTGCCTATTTCTTTTTTTCTACTAGTGCAAGTGCTTGCAGCAATATCTTCTTCCAGCCTTTGGCCACAACTCTGTTAATGCAGCATCAATACCCTACACAAAAATAGATAGATGTAAGACAAAGACATGCTCAAGGAAGTTAACAAAGAAAATTGAGGCTAAGTTTCATACCTTCTGTCTGTCTGAGATAATGCACCACTCATCACCTCTCCCACTGTCTTTGAGCAAGTTCTTCAAATGCCACACAAAGAACTTCCAATTATCTGTGTCCTCAATTGATACAATTGCCCAAGCAAAGGGGAATAGCGCATTGTTTGCATCCAGTGCTACTGCAGATAACAAGACACCACCATAATTCCCCTTTAAGTGAGCCCCATCCATACCTATAAAGCTCCTACAACCAGCTAGCAACCCATCTATACAACCTTTGAATGATATGAAGATACTTAGGAACTGCAGAGGCCTGTCAATATGATCTTGAGGTGTCCAAGCACAGAATGCTGAAGAACCTGGGTTTGTTGATCTCACCATTTCACAGTAGTCAGGAAGCTGGGCATATGAGATGTCATGACCCCCATTAATATCCCTCAGAACCTTTGATCTCATCCTGTATAGAGTACTTGTAGACATTTGTACTCCATATCTTTGCCAGAGTAACTGGTTCAATGAGTTGGCAGGGATATCATTGTTGGCTCTTATATCCTCAAGCAACACTCTTGCAGCCCACTTGGTAGACATCATAGGATTCTTCACCTCTAAACCAGAACAAGTGTGCTCCATGTTCTGAATGGACTTGATTGCCCATGTGACACCATCAGGAAGCCTAGATGCATGCAGCCTCCACTCACAGTAAATTGCAGAACATTTAACTGTCCACCTCAAATTAGATGCCTTGAGCACAACTACAGAAAACTCACTTTGTATGCAGTAATCCTTCACAACATCTCTCAAATGTTGTTTATCTATGAATAATTGCCATGGTTTGATGACAATTTTGCCAAACTCCTCATCATTGTACAACTCTCCATTTTTGTACAATTTTGCAAACTAATCTTCAGCTTCATTGTCATTCTCCCACACAAGGCCTTCCCAAGGGTCAAAGCTGTCAACAAATGGTTCCACGTCATCTTCATCCATTTCATCTTCATCTTCATTTCCCTGATCTACATTACCATCTTCCTGATCTTCATCTTCTTCAGAATCAAATTCACCATCCCCTTCATCCCCTTCATCACTCAGAATAGCTTCATCTCCACCCAAACTCACAGTAAGTTGGTTTTAATGGTTTGGTTGCTTCATCAGAACTTGTTCTGATAATCAATCCCCTCCTCCTAGCTTTAGTCCCTGGAATTCTTTTACCAAATGTGCTAGATGTCTTGGAAGATTTAGAAGATGTCACTATCTCCCCAGAGGTCCCTGAAGCTTTCCTTGTGATAACATTCATCTCAGACAGAGGTGGTGCAATCACGTCTATCCTAGCTTCTGTCTGACCCTCACTTTGGAACCTTTTTCTTGGACTTCTTCTGAGTACCTGGACTGGTTTGGCTTGTTCTATAGTAACCCTAATTCTTTCCTCATCTCTTCTTCTCTCTTCTCATACCTCTCCCTAGCCAACCTCTCAGCCTCAGTCTCTACTGTATTCTCCAGTTGCTTCCTATACCATGCCTTCAAGTCTCTTCCAGGTCCACTATGCCATATCCTACCTCCTGTCAGCTTGACAGGTGCTTCTTCCCCCCTACCTCTCCCTCTAGGTCTCCCCTTCCCTCTTCCTCTCCCCCTACTCATGTATTCTTGATCTTCTTCCATTTCCCTCATCAAATCAGCCCAGGTATCATCACTAGGTACTGCATTATATATTTCAACTATAGGATTTTTCAACAGGTTCACCATCACTTTCATCATCAGCTTCATTATCTCCCTCATTAACAGGTTCAGGAATAGGGTCTGGAACTGAGTCTACATGTTCTCTAACATTGGATGAAGTGTTTCTCCTAGGGGTTAGTTTCTTAGGTCTCTCAACATCTATCACAGGTTGACTTGAACTACCCTCTAGCTTCCTTATACTTCTCCTAGGGATTCCCTTTTCAGGATCACATTCTGTCTGACCCAACTGTCCCACACTTTGTTTCAACTCAGCAGCTATCCTACTTTCCTTCAAACTCCTAGCAACCTTCAGTAACTCATTTGGTGAATTAGCCTCCACCCATATATGTATAAGGTCTTTTCCGTTTAAGTTAGTAAACATTTTCATCAAGTCTTGATCATTAATCAAGTCCACATGTTTCATTTTGTGAACATAAGCAAAACTAGCATGTTTTGGAATTGGTTTCTTACTCTCAACAGCCTTATCCCAATACTCTATCACTAGGTTAACTAGATTGACTGTGTCAATATCCTCAACTACCACATCAACCTCAACACCCTTATACTGAAACCTTAACACCACCGTATCTCTCATTCTAACACCATACCATATTCCAAGCACAAACATAGACAAGCAAGTCCATAACACAAAATCAGTAAACAGACAACAAAAAATTTCATTTTAGGGCATAATACTTCAATACAACCACATAAAACATGCAACAAAACGATCATGCCAAAACAGAGTACATAACATGCACAACTCAAACGTTATATAATAATTAGGGTTTTGGATCCTGAACTTCTTTTTGGCAAGATGATGCAGAAAGATTCGATCTTTCACCAGGTACCCCAGATTCTTAGCCCAAACTTGTATACCCTAGTCGCAATTTTTGAAATCAAAAAAGTTTGAATCCCCCTTTACTTTAACCCAGAAGAAAAATGACTATCACCGTCTATTTTTGATGGTATTATAGAGTACGCATTCAATGCTCTGCGTTTTTTTGTGTCTCGATGAACATTTTGATGAGAAAGGCACCAAAAGGAAAAAGATGAAGAGTAATGAAGAGGGAGAACGAAGGAGAGAGAGAGATAAATGGAGGGAATTAAAATCGGGTGGTTGGGTGAAATAAAAAGGGGGCATTTTTGTCATTTCGCTATTTTGGTTAACCATGGTTTGATTTTATGTTAAAACACCATCATTAATGTCATCATTAGGGGAAAAAAGATAAGTAGTGTCATTTTGTGTAATCCAAAAAAAAGGGGGTTACCGTTGGTGCGTAGCAGAAGCTGGGGGTCGCCGTTGAGAATTTCCCAAATATCTTTGTTACCTAATATTAATAAAGTGGAAGTATAAATTATTGTTATGTTAATAATAATAATAATAATGAATTAAGTAATAATTGTTCATGGCATAGGTCTTAAGCTAGTTATGATGATAAACTGAAGCTTTCTCAGTCGAGTATTGGTAATCCAAATCCAACCCTTTCTGAGAGCGAGTGATAACTTAGGTGGTTGAGCTTCCCTCCTGATTTCAGGAGATCGATTTTCATCACCCGCCCTCGTGGTGGTGATGCTCAACAATGGTCCGCCCCGAAAATAGGGCGGGGTAAGCCAAATACAGTACACTTTTTTTAGTAAAAACCCAAACTTAGGAATGATCACAGATCGAATTCGGGTCGGATGAGGATAATTCCGAATTCGATCCGTTTAATATTCGGATCGTGGACTCGGGTCCGAATCCGATTGACCCGAGTCCGAGTCTGAATCCGATCCGTTTATTCGGACATCCGGATTGATCTAAGTACTCTTTAATTATTTTTTTTAAAGAACAATGTGTGATATATTTATACATGCTTGTGTTGTCTCTAATAATGTTTTTGTACATCATATTAGTGTATAAAAATTTCAAAAAAACCTAAGATACAAAACCTAAACATAATGTATATAAATTATAACTTAGGACTCCGGTCGAACTCGAACTAAGACCGGACTTCGCGCAAGGTCCAAGTCCGATCCGCCTCCTATTCCGATTCGGATCTATTTAATCGGATTCGGATTATTTTTAAACAAATTCGAATCAAATTTATATCTTCGGATCAGATCGAATTTAAATCGAACTCGAGTTGGATTACCATCCCTACCCAAACCTGGCCTGAAAAACACTCTAAAGCCCGCCACTATTTTTGCGAATTTGGGGATCACATTTTATGTTAAAGCCCGACCCAATCCGAATTCTTGATCACCTCCTCTCCCTACCCGGACCCCACCCCACGACAGCTCCAATTCCCCGACCCCAAACTTAACCTCCGACACCCCCTCACCTCCTTTTTTCCCTAACACAAGCCGCCGGTGATACCGCGCAGAAGCAGAATCCGGCGTCAAGTATAACCAGACACATTAATCCTGCGGCAAGGTAATGCACTCCTTCTCCGTTTTCTTTCTTTCTTTAGAGTTCTGCTCTTTCTTAGTTACCCTGCACCATTGTTAATTGCATTGCTTTTTTCTACAAATACCCTTTTTATTCTTTTTTTTTGGGATTTTTTATTCCTCAATTATTAATCTAAAGTATTCTGTGCTTTTGAGATTCTCTGACCAATTCATTTCATATGGTTCATTTAGCTTTTAAATTGGGTTTTTGTAAAAATTTTGTAATGTTTATGTAGTGAGAAATTGAGAAGCAATTCATTCATTTTAATTGTGGTAATAAATTGTACTAGGTGTTGAGATATGGATAATAATGATATAATGGCGTCGGTTCGTTCTGTGGTGTTCAAGGAATCAGAAACCCTTGAAGGGAAATGTATTAAGATTGAGGGTTATGATTTTAATCAAGGAGTGAACTATCCCAAGCTTTTGAAATCGTTCGTCTCAACCGGTTTCCAAGCATCTAATCTCGGTGATGCTATCGATGTTGTAAATCAAATGGTTAGCTTGAGTTTTAAGCTGTTTATTAATTTTAGGTGTTGTTCTGCTCGTTTTCATTTTGTGTTCATTTGTGTATTTTGTGTGGTTCAAGCTAGATTGGCGGCTGGCAAATGAGATACCCGATGAAGATTGCAGCAAGGAAGAGAGGGATCCTGTTTACAGGGAATCCGTGGGGTGCAAAGTGTTTTTAGGTTTTACCTCGAATCTTATATCTTCTGGTGTTCGTGACACTTTTCGATATCTTACTCAGCATGATATGGTGAGATTAAGGTTTAGATATTATTTCACTTTGTTTGATTTTTTCGAAAGTGTTGTTCAAATGTGTGAACTTAGTTGTGGGGTTTTTAACTTATTACTTTCAGTAGATCCTATGCTTAACATAGTCTTGGGTTATTGGGTGAAAGAAAGTATTTTCTAAGAGAGAAGATTGTGCAGTAGCAAATGACTCGTAGCTCAGAGATTGCAATCTGTTATTTGTTGAGACTTTTGAGAGGATGTTTTTTATTTACTCATTCACAGCAATTTAAATGGCACTCTCTCTCTTAATTGTTTGACTGTATCATTGTTAATGGCAATATTAGTGGCTGTCTCATATTTGAGTTATATTTTTTGATAGAGAACTGTAAGAAGGCGTATGTAAAAGAGGGGGTTTTAGGAACCTTTCAGTCTTTCACCACATTAGTTTTATTGCTTGGAAGAAGTGTGATTGAAGTAGTTCCTTTTTCTAGGAACTCTTCATGGCTTCACTACTTAAGTTTTGTTGCTTCCATAATGTCTCTTCCCTGCACGGCTGTACTAATAATGTAGACTTTGGGATGTCGTTGTCCACTTCAAACACCAAAAGAAAAGGGGAAATAGAAAGAGAAAAATTTCGTGCAAACCTTAGGGGCTTTGTTTCTCTGATAACTTTCGGCTTCAAACCTTCAACTGTAGCATCAATCCCTTTTTTTTTAAGAGAAATTTCGTGTTAGATATGTCTTGGGAGCCTAAAATACAGAGTTGTTGGCTATGTGATTTGAATTATTAGCTGATTGATCCCGTTGTGATCTGTTATTTTGCTCACATAACTGTTGCTTCTCTCCATCATGGCCTTGTATGAAGTAAAGAGTTTAGCATTTTTTTTCACCCAACTTTCTAGGATTAGATTATTTGCACTCAAAAGGTCGGGCATTTGCACTTGTTCAGGTTGATGTCGTTGTAACAACTACCGGTGGTATAGAGGAGGATCTTGTTAAATGTCTTGCACCTACATTCAAGGGTGAATTTTCTTTACCTGGAGCTCAGTTACGCTCAAAAGGATTGAATCGCATTGGTAATTTATTGGTTCCAAATGACAACTACTGCAAATTTGAGGATTGGATTGTTCCAATTTTTGATAAAATGCTAGAAGAGCAGATTAAAAAGGTAATTTCTTAATTATTGATGTCTGTTATCTGATGAATTGATCTCCAATTAGATATTTTTGTTCTGTTTTTGTGTCTCGGTGTGTGGCTGGTTTTTTTTTCAAGTACAACATAACCCTAGAATTACTTCATCCCTGTCATTAATTATATGTTTTCAAGCTTTCTTTGTTGGCACTTGTCAGTTTTTTTCTATTTATTTATTTATGTTCATATTTCTCAAAAATTGCTGAATGCAGAAGATAACATGGACGCCATCTAAGGTGATTGCTTGTTTGGGTAAAGAAATAAATGATGAGAGCTCATACCTTTATTGGGCATACAAGGTGAAAAATCTACTCATTTAGAGGTTAGGCTTGGTTTTTCTCCCATAGATTCTCATAATATGTTACATCATATTAAGCCGTTTTAAGTTTTGGTCAAACTTGTGCATGAAGGCATGAAGGTGTTCCTTTTCTATGCTGCTCAATTTCAATGCACATTAATACCAAACTTAGAAGCCTGTTTGACAGTTCATGTAATGGTCTTTCATGCTTATCTTCTTTTAAAATTTGAAGTATTGCTGAAAACACTGCTGTGACTAGTAATACTATCAAAAAATTATCTTAAACTCAACAAAAGTCTAAATGCTCTTTAGTAGCGAGACCTTATGCTTTTGATATTTAACTGTTTTCACAATGGAAATCTGTTCAACAAAAGTCAGTTTGAAGAAGTTGTTTTACTAGTTCCTGCTAAATTTGAGCAAGGGTCAATCTAAATCTTAATCAAGAAAAGTGGTGGTTGGTGGATATTAGATTATCAAAAAAATAAATAAATAAATAAATAAAAACAAATTAAAATTGTTTGTTTATGTTTTTTCCCCCCATAGCGTTTAACTGATGCAGCTTTCACTTCATGCATAAAATTTCAGAATAATATTCCAGTATACTGCCCAGGTTTGACAGACGGCTCGCTGGGAGACATGTTGTATTTTCATTCAATTCGGAATCCAGGTTTAATTATCGACATAGTTCAAGGTCAGTTATTTTCTTGTTAATCTGATGTACGACATCTTCCAATATAATTTGCTTACAATTATTTTATGGTCATATGCAGATATAAGAGCCATGAATGGTGAGGCTGTTCATGCGAGCCCCAGGAAGACTGGAATGATAATTCTTGGTGGAGGGTTGCCTAAACATCACATTTGCAATGCAAATATGATGCGAAATGGGGCAGATTATGCAGTTTTCATTAACACTGCCCAGGAGTATGACGGCAGTGATTCTGGTGCTCGTCCTGATGAGGCCATCTCCTGGGGAAAAATCCGAGGTTCTGCTAAAACCGTGAAGGTTTGTGTAATTGTGTATATTTTCTTTTCTTTAAGTCTTACTTTTTTAGCCTGCTTAATTTACTTTTATTTATTTTGGTTGTCCTAATTAGTTATGACCTTGATGTTCAGGTGCATTGTGATGCCACTATTGCTTTCCCATTATTAGTCGCGGAGACCTTTGCGGCTAAAAAAGAGTGTGAGAGAGGCTAGCTCAAATGCTGACAGAGGTAGATTTTGATATTCACTTTCTACATTTCTGCGAGGGTGATTAAACTTGATACCTACAATAATACTGCAAAAACAATCAATTATGCTAGTGCTTCTGCTGTTTCACTTATCCTTCGTCTTTGCGCCCGCCAATCTGGTTGACAGATATATAAGCAAAATTGTTGAACTCTGGTCTCTCGACGTCTGTTGCCTAGCTGGTAAAGCATCATTGTTGAGCTACTCTTACACATCATTCTGCAGAGATTTAATATCTCCAAATTTTGTTCCTTTAGGAAACCTTATTTGCTCCGTGATTAAACCCCGTGTTGTGAAAGACAAGTACTATAAATCAAATACTTTGCATTAAACGCATTATTACACTCGCTTACAGATTGTTCAATGGGTGCAATTGTATGGTCCTCCAATTGAAATAATAATAGAAGCATGAAGACAGTAGAATAGTAGATCAAATAAGACGCCTACAAAAAGTGATTCCATCACCCAGAGGAAGTTGAACAATGTCAATGCGAGGATCAGCAGCCAGGGACTTGTTCAACTTGATAACGGCCTCTCGATTCTTCTTCATGGAGTCTGGTACATGTGATTCAGGCATGGCTACTGTTCCTCCCCAAAGTGTGTTATCGTAAGCAATCACACCGCCAACCTTGACGAGCTTCATCAACCTCTCATGGTAATTCAGATAGCTAGTTTTGTCCGCATCCACAAAGGCAAAGTCAAAACTACCCTCATTTTCTGCCTGTCGTCACTCAACAAGGTAATACATCAGCTAAATCATTATCTAAGCCAAGACAGTAGGCATCATATCTTGTGAAATAATTTTCAAATATAAAATCAACCATATTCAGGGCAATTGGTTCCTACCCGAAACAATAGTAAATGAGTCTAAATCTATGAGCATATGAAGGTTATTAAAGCAATGTAGTCTAGAACTTTTTTTTTTTTTTTTTTTTTTTGTTTGTGGAAGGAATGTAGTCTAGAGCTTTTTTAGATTTATTTAAGGAATCTTTTAGCCTTAATTTATTGTGTAATATTGTGGAGATTATTTCTTAAAAAATAGTACGCTTACATTCAGCAGAAGATTATCAAGAGCTAGATGAGCATCTGATACAATGAAGTCGATTTTGTCTTCAACACCGGCTTTCTTGATGAATGGTAAGCCAATCTCATATGCTTCCCTATCACAGTCAATTGCAACAATCTTTTGTAACAAAAACAGAAGTAGGCTATCTTTAAATAAGTTATTGACAAGGAGAAAATAGAAATGATCCAGTTAATATAAAGAATTTTATAACTCAACATCATAGTCTTTAGTTAAGGGATTGAGACAATGTGATAACTAATAAGAAGATTTGTTCGATAAGTTAACCTTTCCATCATCCGGGATCGAAAGGGCAGTTAGCAAGAGGGAGTATCCTGTAAATACTCCAACTTCAATAGTCTTTTTAGCATTCTCTTTCTTCAGAAGGAATGAAATCATTTGTCCTGCAATTGGTGCACTAGCCATGTAGGACCTTGGAAGTGAAGAAGAAATGAGTACAGAATTTGTATAGAATAATAAATCTTCAACTATGATAGTACAAAGGGAATGCTGTATTACTTGGGGTGATTTTCAGTTGCTTCCCTTAGCTCCTTAAGGGGTTCTGCTTTGCGTGGATAAACACTAGTTTCGAGAATATACTGCATCCAAACAATTGCAAGGTTAACTTCAATGTAATCCAAAGAAGATCAACATAGTATCAATGATTCGAGAAAAGCAAGATCGTGTGCAAGACTAACACTGTGCAGTTCCTCACTCTGCAGCAACCCCGTGTTCTTGATTTGCTTCATACTCATAGAATCAACAGCCATAGCTTAAATCCCTGCATAAATTTTAATGGGCAAGAAATTTCTCTGAGTTGAAAGTGTAGTTTAAGGACCTCATATGTAGCTGGCAATGAGAGTGGTAGCCCACTAGGATTACTACTTATTTGAACCCATACCCGTTATTAAAAAAAAAAAAAAAAACAAAGAGAGGTTCATTTCAGAAAAAATAATTTATGTTCAGCAAAAAAATTTGTTCCTTAAAATAATATTATTATTGAATAAAAATCAATAGCTACAAAATAGGGAGGAAATCAGTAAATATTATTATTATTATTATTATTATTATTATTAGGAAAAATTGATTCTAATAATCCCACCTTTAGTCGGTTCGCTATTAATAATCCAACTTTTTGATTATTATCTAATAATCCCACCTTTATAAGGCATTTTCTTCTATTGGTCCTTTATGACCGGTAACCTATACATTAGGTAAACTTTTTTTTTTAAATTATTATTATTTAAAAACATATGTAATTGGTAAAAAAAATTAAAAAAAAAAAAAAGAAACTAAAATTTTTTTAATTAAAAAAAAAAAAAAACCATCCCAGTCCAACTGCCCCAACCCCACGGCAACCCCAACAATTGCGCTCCGGCAGCTCCTCCTCTCCAACCACGCTGCCGGAACTCCCATCTCCACCCCCACCAAACGAAAACCAACCCCTCCTTCCGCTCAAGCCACCCCAATTCCCACTCCCCACCCACAAAAACCAACCCCTCCCCTTTCCCGGCGTCAAACAGCCACAACTGAATGAGAATTGATTGAACATCATGGATGAGGATATGCAGCATAGGACACATGCTACTCGGTAGACTAGCATACAACCCAATCATTGAAACCGCCATTAATGGAGCTCAAAACTAAACTGAAAATTTACAGTTTTTCGAATCGAAATTTCAGAATAAATTTATTTTTTTAAGAGAAAGGAAGGTCCGGTTCTCGCTGGGTGAGGATGGGGTTCCGGTGGTTTGGGTGGGAGAAGAGGCTGCCGGAGTTGAGGTGCGTCGGATGGTGCCGTGGGGGTTGATGTAGGCTGTTTTTTTTTTTCCTTTTTTTTGTTTTTTTTGTTTTTGAATTTTTATTTTTTATTTTTTATTTTAAATTTTTTTTTTCTACCAATCACAAAGTGACACATAGTATCTTAACCTATCAAAACAGGTCATCAACAAGTTAGGGATCAATAAAAGAAGATGTCCTATAAAGGTGGGATTATTATATAATAATCAAAAGATGGAATTATTAATAGCGAACCGACTAAAGGTGGGATTATTAGAATCAATTTTTCCTTATTATTATTAGTAAACGGCCGTAGTATAAATCAACAACTTTGGAAAGTGACAAGACTTTACACCTGAGGTTTGGAATTACTGGAAATACATACATATCTACAAAGGAAGAGTGAGTGATAGCTATTACGGAGACATCACTTAGAGTCTTAAACATTCCTTGAACGAATAATCAAATAATGATGAACAATTGAACACCAAATTAAAAAAATAAAAATAAAAAATAACAAAAAAGAAACATAAAATTGAAGTGAATTTAGAGTACGGAGTACTTCGTAACAAAGTTAGCTTAATTATTTAACTAATTGAATTTCATAAGATTGGAAACATAAAAGAGATAAAAGGGGAAAATCAAAGCAAATAACGTACCAAATAAACATATGCAAGCTTCTTCTTAATTCAATCGTATTTGTCGAGGCTAGTTTTGATGTTCATAATGTTGGTTTGTTTTCAATATGAGAGTTTAAATTGAAGTGTTGGTACAGTTAACTGATGGATTAAAGAAACGAATACGTACCAATACGCATAGCCACTCAATTGGTGACCCACCCTAAATCACTATTTGTTACATACCTTGCGCCTGACAATATAATCAAGTCAATAGAGGTCTCAAATCGTGTGCTTGGCTTTGGTACTATGTTCAATATGAGTTTGAGTCGCACCAGCAAATCAAGAGAGAAAGTCCACTTCACAAGTTCAAAGGAGGTTTTATTCCAATACAAATTCTTCTGTAGACCCTGGTCCATCTAGAAATAGGTGCACCACGCCTATACTTTTGAACATTTAGTAAAAAGATAAGAACAATTGCAAATTTTGAACATTTAGTAAAAATATTTGAACAATCGCACTGTACCACGCCTATACTTTTGAACATTTAGTAAAAAAATCTGAACAATCGCAAATTTTGAACTTGTAGTATATTTAGGGGTGGGACTTTTCAAACCGAACCGTGAAACCGCCCGTTACCGAACCGAACCATCACGGACCGATCCGTTTATAAACCGATAAATATAAACCGAAAACCGAACTGAACCGTTCAATATTAAACCGAAACCGAATTGAACCGCTCAATGTCAACCCGTTACGGACCGTAAACCGATAACAAACCAAACTGCGCAAATCCGAACCGAAACGAAACCGAACCGAATGGTTTATAAACCCGTTAATGACCCGAACCATTTATAAACCGAAACCGTTTAAACCGAAAAAAAAACCGTTTAAACCGAACCATTTGTAACCGAAACCGTTTAAACCGCACATATAAACCGAACCGTTATAATCCGCTAACCTGTTTAAACTGATCCGATTACAAACTGCTTAATTCAAATTGAATTATTTACAACCTAAATGGCTAAATAGTAAATACAATTAATGTTAATAAATGTAGATCTAATCAAACGGCTTAGGTTTATACAAAGGTTTATATTACCTAGATCTAGGCCAACGACATTATTAATATCGTTTTAGATTACTTATTTATTTTAATTACAAGATATATCATTTGTATCATTTTCATTCCAGTAATAATGCTAGTCCACCCAAATTATCTTCATTGTTCCTTGATATTCATGATCATCCAATATCACTCAAAGCCTCAAAGGTAACATAAGATTGGAGATGTATGAGATTGCGTTACACAAGTGGCATAAGCATTAGAATATTACTGTACTAGTCAATAAGGCGTACAATCATTCACATTATCACTTTATAAAACTTTCTTATACAAGTATTTTGTAAAAGGGAGGACTAAAATGTTTATAAAACACATTTTTTTAGCTTTTCTTAAATTAAACCAGATATTAAGTAAAAGAATTTTAATAAATACGGAGGCATCCCAAATCTGTAGCCACAATTATTTCATAACATTACCACAAATCCAGCAGATAAATAGCATTAAAATTAGAGTAATATCAACAAGCAATTAAAAAAAGTCACCATTTTCATTGATTAAAATTCACAATACATATACCAATACATAATGAAACTACTATCACTACTACCCAGATTAGATTTCAGATTTATCAACTGAAATATCATCAAGTTTAGGGTTGCAAAAAATGATACATGATAAGATGAAGGGAGGAGTGAGAATGTGAGTGATTTGGGAGCAAAATCTTGAAGCAGAATCTTGAAGCAGCAGCACAGCACCCAAGAGCAGAGGAAATAGCAGCAACAAGCAGGAACCAGCACACGCAATAACAGATCAGCAACTTATCAGAAGCAAGGAATAATATAAGCAGAAGGGACTCAGCAGGAACTTATTTTTGTTTTTCAAAATTGCTCTCAGATTTACGTTTATCGTATCATCACTGAGCAATGGCTGTTTTAACTTAAAACTTGAAAAATGTTGCCAGCAAGTACATATACATTGAAGTCTCAACATAAATGACAAGGGCAACGATGATTCAAGAAAAATTAAAACAGCAAGCATAAGAAACAGCAGCTACAAAACAGCAGCAAGCATAAGAAACAACAGCAACAAAACAACAACAGCAACAACTCAGCAGAGACAACAACCAAAAGGCAAAAGCACTACCAGCAGGCAGCAGCTCATAACAAGTTCAAGCAACTTCAAAATGATAGCTTTTGTTTTTTAAAATTGCTCTCAGATTTACATCACTGAGCAATGGTTGTTTTAATAAAAACTTGAGAAATGCTGCCAGCAAGTACCAAAATACATTTAACTATTTAAGTCTCAACATAAATGACAAGGGCAACGATTTTAAAAGTCTTGAAAAATGCTGCCAGCAAGTCTGAAAATAAATGACAAGGGCAACGATTTTAAAAGTCTTGAAAAATGCTGCCAGCAAGTCTAAAAATAAATGACAAGGGCAACGATTTTTCAAGATAAAATAAACCACAATGAGACACAAATACCAGTTATGCAGATGAAGCACTTTCGGCTTCAATCTCTTTACCAATAAGGAGGACGTCTTCCTCAACATCCGCTTGATAACCACGACACCAATTTTGGGTGGTAACCAATGCCTCAACATTCTTTGGCAAAAGTTTACCCCTATATTTGTTCAAAATACGACCACCCAAACTAAAAGAAGATTCAGAGGCCACCGATGTAATAGGAATGGCCAAAACATCCCTTGCCATATTAGCTAAAATAGGAAGAGAAGAAGCTTGAGATTCTCAATACTTGAGAACGTCAAAATGTTCCCCTTGAATTGATAGTGCCGGTATTACTAGCATCATCAACCGGGAGTGGGACAGAGGCAGCTTGAGAGCTAACAGTATCAAAATTTGATTGCCTCTCATAGTCAAATTCATCATACTCGCAAGACATGACTGAAACAAAAAAAAAAACAGCATTTATAAGTACCAAATGAAGTGACAGATTCTACTAATAGTGAGCAATTAAGCATGCATTGTCTCATGTGACTGGCATATGTGTACATTTTAAGTACTAACTTTAAGCCAACTTTAAGCCAATCATACAAGTATACATTTTAAGTACATACAAGTATACTAACTTTAAGCAGAATAAGATTAGCAGAATGGGGACTTATTGAAGAAATTGTGTAGCTTCTAGATAATACAATTAAGCACCTAAGAGAAAACAAATATTGTAGTTAATTAGAGAAAATAAGTTAACTCAATGCAAATGCACATCTGTAGTGCTACAATAAGTAAAATGAATCAAATTAAGAAAACAGAAGTTGTTCCTTCAACAACAACAACACCAACAACAAAAAATAAAATAAAATTAATCCACTCTCAAAACAGCTAGCATCAATGTAAATGCAAAAACTAATTCTCATTCAACAACACATCACAACATTTACTGATTACTATGGCCACTCTTCATTAGCATCCTGCTCACAGCTGCCAAAATACTCCTCGTCCTTCTACCACCCCCTTAATTCCTTATTCAACAGAAATGTCAATATATTTCGATAAGAATTCTCTAAAAGACTAGAAAGCTGCACTAGCTAAGTGAAACAAACGTGTCTACTCATTTGAGGTGAACCAGAGTAATCCTTCTCCCCTTCAAACCAATTAATCACATGAATTATGTTCACACAGACAAAACCGTAACCCGTTAATCGCATAAAAATTGCAACCAAATCAACCAACACAACACAACACAACCATAATTCAATTCCCCTCCCTGTGAAAATCAAGATCTAGCGACTATACATTGCAAAACAACCAACATAACACAACCATAATACAAATACCAAATCTACAAAAAAAAAAAAAAAAAAAAAAATTTACGTATCAAAAAAAAAATCACAAAATATACATTGCAAAACAAAAAATGAACAAAAGAACTAGAACTTTCAAAAAAAAAATCAGAAATTATAATTTACAAAATAATAAATGAAAAAACAGAACTTAGAAAAAATAATAGGAACTTAGAATGAGAATGAAAAATACAAATACCTTATATCGTCCGTGAGTAGAGAATATGAAAGATCTACAAAAAAAAAGAAAAAAAAAATTAAAATTAAAAAAAAAAGGCAGATAAACTCATAAACCAGAATAAATAGAACTTATAAAAACCCAGAAAAATACCAGAAAAATTCGAAGTTTGAGAATATCCAGAAAAAAGATCTACAATAAACCAGAAAAAACAGAACTTAGAACAAAAAATAGGAAATTAGAAGTTTTCAACAAAAAAAAAATAAAAATCGGGACTTAGAATGAGAATGAAAAATACAAATACCTTATATTGCCGTGAGTAGAATATGAGTATATGACAGATCTACAAAAAAAAAACAGAAATTAATCAATTCGGAATAAATGAACAAAAGAATTAGACCTTCCAAAAAAAAATCTGAAATTTTAAGACTAAATGAAAATATCAGATGAGGAAATGAGAGTTTCATAGGCGTGAGAACTGAGAATTTGAGAAAGCTTGAGAGATTCAGATGAAGAGGGAGATAGTTAGGGTTAGGAGGTTAGGAGAGAGAGAGATGTTTGAGAATATCAGAGAGATGAGGAAATGACAAATGAGGCGTGTGTGCTAGTGAGTTTTCTCTAGGTTTAGTTTTAGGTTTTACTTCTTCTCCTAATCTAACCGTCCATTTTTAATCTCAGCATCTCACCGTTCATTTTTTTTTTGGTAGTAATAAAGTAATAAAGGTCTGGTTCCAGAATGTTCATGCAACATGCCAGCTTTATCAACGGTCTTATTTTTTTTTCGAGACTTTTTCTTTTTTTTATTAAAATATATTAATATATTATTATTTTTTTTTTTTGAAAACTATTATTAATTATTTTATTATTTTGAGGTTACTATAATTATTATTATTATTATTATTATTATTATTTTGAGGTTATTATTATTATTATTAATAGTATTATTATTGTTATTATTATTATTATTGTTAGAATGTTAGTATAATTTTATGTTAATATTCTTTTTATAAGTATTATTATTATTATTAATATTATTATCATCATCATTATTATTATTATTATTATTAATAATAATATTACAATATTACTTATAAATTGTAAGAAACACAAATGAAACAAAATTGAAATTAATTCAATATGACATAATTAATGACTTAATGACGTTAATGTACATCAATATCTAACATCTCTATGTATAAGTGTATAACTATATATATGAATATATCAGTGAGTCTGTGACTTTAAATATAATAAAATAATAACTTAATAAGTAATAAACTAATAACTAATAAGAGTATAAGACTAATAAAGTAATAACTAATAACTAATAAGTAATAAGTAGTAACTAATAAAGTAATGAAATCTAACTGTTGTTTTTCATGGGCATTCAATCTAACCGTTGTATATTTGACCATTTGACTATTTGACTATCTGTACATTAGTATTGCTCTTGCATAATGATTTCATCACCACTTTAGTGATTTCGTCATTTTGTCCATTTAACTTATCAAGTTGTTTGAATTAGTAATCTAAACAAAGTACCAAACTAAATAAATAATTCATTTAATCTCGTGTAAGTGTGTAACTTATAAATTATAAGAAATGCAAATGTTTGGAAATTGAAATTGATTCAATACGATATTGACATATTGTTAATGTATATGTATTATGTATATACTTATAAATTGTAAGAAACACAAATGAAACAAAATTGAATGAATTCAATATGACATAGCTAATGACTTAATGTACATCAATATCTAACATCTCTATGTATAACTATATATATGAATATATCTGTGAGTCTGTGACTTTAAATGTAATAAACTAATAACTTAATAAGTAATAAGAGTATAAGAATAAGTCTAATAAAGTAATAAGTAATAACTAATAAAGTAATGAGTAGTAACTAATAAAGTAATGAAATCTAGCTGTTGTTTTTCATGGGCATTCAATCTAACCGTTGATTATTTGACTAATTGTACATTAGTATTGCATAATGATTTCATCACCACTTTAGTCATTATGTCATTTCGTCCATTTAACTTATCAAGTTGTTTGAGTTAGTAATCTAAATAAAGTACCAAACTAAATAAATAATCCATTTAATCTCGTGTAAGTGTGTAACTTATAAATTATAAGATATGCAAATGTTTGGAAATTGAAATTGATTCAATACGATATTGTTAATGTATACGTATTATGTATATCATATGGTAGTATGGTATGAATGTACGATTGGTATCATAGTATCATTGGCTCATTGCCTCATTGAATCATTGGTATGTAAGTAATTAAGTATGTAACTATGTACGTATAATCGATAAACATATATGTTAAAACTTAAAAATTTAAAACATTTGTTGATCGATCTAATTGAGTACTTGTACTTCCTTAATTATCGATTTATTGTATTCTAAGTATCAACTCATTAAATCATGGTCATGACGCGATCTTTAAAACAATCATGATTCATGAATTCATGACCCAAACCGCTTATAAACCGAACCGGCATGATCCGAACCGTTTATAAACCGAACCGACATTGGACTGGGTAAACCCGCCCCTAAACCGGCCCATTTCAAACCGAACCGACATGATCCGTACCGTTTATAAACCAAACCAACAGTGACCAGGGTAAACCCGCCCCTAAACCGACCCGTTTCAAACAAACCGGCATGATCCAAACTGTTTGTAAACCGAACCGTCATCAACCTGGGTAAACCCGCCCCTAAACCGATCCGTTTCAAACTGAACCGGGATGATCCGAATTGTTTATAAACCGACCCGCTTATGACCCAAACCGAATTTAAACCGTAAAGAAATAAACCGAAACCGAACCGACCCGTGACTAACCGAAACCGAACTGAACCGACCCGTCAGCTAAATCAAATCGTTTCAACCCGAACCGCTCCAAACCGAAACCGACTCACACCGAGGTCAAACCGAACCGCCAAACCGAAGTCCCACCCCTAAGTATATTAAATACAACATTATATAATAAACATCAATTTTTTGAAAGAAGCTTGTCTGACTCGTAATAATTCAATAGTTTTGTAATATAAACTGAACATTTACTGCATATAAAATGAACATTTCTTTATAATATATGAACATATAAAATTGGATGTTTATGTTCAATTTTTGTGATGTGTTCATATTTTTTTTACTAAATGTTCATTTTTTGTAAAGTGTTTCAATTTTTTTACTAAGTGTTCAAATTTAATTTACCTTTCTGCACTATTTTCTTGTTTTTTCTTCCATGTCGGTTCGTTAATTTGCAGAGGAGAGAGAATGTGCAGTTCAACAATTGAAAGAGGAAATGAAAGAATTAAATTTTTCGTCAGTTTTTTATTTATTTATTTATTTTATTTTTTTTAAATATGTCTGTTGGGAGCGAAATTAAGAAAGAAAGAAAGTGGGAGTGTTTGGGCCTATGATTTTAGTGAGAAATGAAGTTTGTAATGTAAATGGGTTTGTGGTCCAGCTATTCTAGATGGACCAGGGTGCACAATAGACTTATTGCCATCCCAAAACCAAATGACAATAGGAGGAGGAGACCCCTTAACCTTATAAAGTGTTTAACTCTCTCTTCTTTTCTCAATGTGAGACACTTACAGGTATTATTTGGTAGGATATACTTCAACACAATTCATTAATACTCCCCCGATTTTTAAATACTTGCTCCATTTCTACTTTTTGCACTATTCATTTGTCCTACTTTAACTAATGTTTGTGATTTATACATAGGAAAAAATATATTCTTGTGGGTACTTGTTGGAATCGTCTCAATGAATAAATTATTAATTTTCAATTGTTAGAATTTATACTTATTAATAATTAAAGATATAATTGATCAAAGATTTGCATCGACATACGTGCTCAGGAGAAATGGAACAAGTATTTAAAAACGCAGGGAGTAATAACATTACAGGTACAGTATTACAATTCACCAGTACCCCTTATCAAAAAAAAAATTAGGAGTACTCATATTACAATTCACCCACTCAAAGTTCTTAGGAAATCACCCATTTACCCTCAATTTTTTTTTGTCTTTATTAGATGAAATGTCAAAAGTACCCTCTATTAATTTTTCGTGCATCATTAATCACATTGTTTATTTTACTATGATATTTTTTCTCTTTGAAAAAGTAAAAAAGTACATTTTCTCTCTCTTCTTCTTTGCAAATGATTATCAATTTGGTTTTTCCATGTTCTTTTAGTACTTCCTCCTCCTACAGAATATTTCTTAATTCCATTATTTTGCAAACGAGAACTATATTTAGAGATGGAGGAGGTAGTAAAAAAAAGGATTGAGAACAATATTTAGAACCATTAAAAATGAAAATGAGAACTATATTTAGTGATGTAGGGAGTAGTTAATAACACAATGCCTTATAACGAAGGAAATAATATCATTGCAAGATGCAATCAGCTGATATAGGTCCACCATATTTATCAAGAGGTAAATTGAGTTGTAGATTGGTTGGCAAATTCAAATAAAAATATTGAGTTGATTCAAGTTCCTCCTTTAGGACGTATTTTATATGGTGGTATTGTAAAAGGCTATGCCTGGACTTGTTCCTCCTCGGTTTTTTCATTTTGTTTTTCTTTCCTGCTCGTGTGCACCAAAAAAAATAAAAAATTATAAATTATTGACTATCTATATAAGAAAAAGTAAAGAGAATGAGTGGTTTCATGGTTTGAAGATATTTCTGTGCTTAAAACTGATCGTTTCATTGAAGTTGTGACTTTCATTAGGAAAAAAGGAGTTAAATTAGAGTTTTTTGGTCCTACATAACCTATTGGAGCTTGGTTTGATCTGAGGTTTTAAAGCTAGGTTTGATGATGAAAATGGATGCCAATTTAAAGAATTGCCTCAACCTTGGACAAATCCCAATAATAAAGAATGTAGTAGTCACGTGAAGGAAAAAGGGATTAAATTAATAAAAAGAAAAAAAGAAAAGTAATAGAAGTCAGAATTCGGTGGAATCTTCGGCACCCAAAAAATTATATATCATTTACATCACCCAACCCTTAAAGTTCGTGTTGTCATTGCTCCATTTAAAGTTTATGCTATTGAGTGTGTCCAACCAATAGTTTGTGTTGTTCTAGCCAATTTTACCAAGTATAAATGATCAACAATATTAATTAATGTGCAATTCTACACACAATATTAACTTGGCTAACAAATTGTTTAAGCGGCTACAAAGTTTTGATTGCATTGTTCAATTGCAACATTATTATTAGAAGAATTAAGAGAATTGATCAATAAAGACGCCTACAAAAGGTAATACCATCACCTAGAGGAAGTTGAGCAATATCAATGCGAGGATCAGCAGCAAGAGACTTGTTTAATTTCATGATGGCCTCTCGGTACTCCTTCATGAAGTCCGGTACTTGTGATTCAAGCATGGCTACTGTTCCCCCCCAAAGCGTGTTGTCGTAAGCAATCACGCCTCCAACCTTGACGAGCTTGATCAACCGCTCATGGTAATGTTGGTAGCTAGGCTTGTCCGCGTCCACAAAGGCAAAGTCGAAACTTCCCTCATTCTTAGGCTGTATACACGTACTCGATCAAATTTACTCATCAATTTGGTCTTAATCTAGCTACAACAACATATCTTGTTTAAGTTACAACAACATATCTTTTGAAATGTCTAGATTTTAATTTAAGTAAAACTTTCAAAATCTATTAAAATTGCATTAATTTTGTATAATGTACATTGGTACTCCCTCCGTCCCTTTTTAGATGCCTATTTCTAACATTTATTACTCACATAATAAAGAGAAGTAGACATCTAATTAAGGGACGGAAGAAGTACAATATAGAGGTATTCAACATTGCATTGAGGGTTTATTTATTTATTTATTTTTTTTAAAAAATAACAAACATTGCGTGGGGTATTGACTTATTGCAAAATAAATAATCAAATCATATCATGCAATAAACGCTTTAATAGCTAAACTAGCTGTCCCATCTGTGATAGCTTGATAGGTGGGCTGTATTATGGAGGAAATCAATTATTGTAAGAGCAAGGGCTCTATATATTTTAGGGATGTACAATATATTATTGTGTTATATGTTAGTATTTACAAAATTATGTTTGTTGAAAATTTGAAGTCAAATACATGTGAGATGGATATTAATTAAGGCAGATAAAGTAAGTAGGTGGTGGGATGAGTAACACTCTGTTCTTTTGAGCTGAGGTCAATCGAACTAAATTGTATATAACTGAAATAAACTGCAGAAAAGTCTATTAGAACATGACTTATTATGGATATTAGGTAAAGGTAGTGGTGAAATCAGATAATTCTATTAAATCAGATGTACTTACATTCAACAGAAGATTATCAAGAGCTAGGTGAGCATCTGATTCAATAAAATCAATTTTCCCCTCAACACCAGCTTTTTTGATGAATGGCAAGCCAATCTCATATGCTTCTCTATCACAATCAATTGCAGTAATCTGTACTAATCAATAACAAAAGTTGTTTACTTTTGCATGGAATTGAATCTATTCCCCATAGAAAAATAATGATATAAATGACCCAGTACTCCCTCCATCCCTGAAAGAATGACCCTTATGAGCAAAATTCACGAGAATTAACAAAGTGAAAGAGGAAGTTGTAAAAGTACATTGAAAAGTGAATTTCACATGGGGTTAGCTAGAATAAAAATAATAAAAGTACATAAAAATTAAAAGCAAAATTTACATGAGAAAGCTAACTTTGCACAAATTGGAGAGTATTTTAATATAAATAGAATGATTATTTTGGACTAGATTTAAGCCATAAGGGTCATTCTTTCAGATGGAGGGAAATTATAAACGAAATGTTTTTTTTTTTTTTGCCGGAAAAAAAAGGTGCTTTTATAATATATTGCTTCGGACTTAACAAAAATAGGTTGGGACGATGTAACGAAAAGATAACTCAAAAAAATTTCAACCTTTCCATCATCCGGAATCGAAAGAGCAGTTAGCAAAAGGGAATATCCTGTAAAAACTCCAACTTCAATAGTCTTTTTAGCATTTTCCTTCTTCAAAAGGAATGAAATCATTTGTCCTGCAATTGGTGCGCCAGCCATGAAGGACCTGATAAATTATTAGAAGAGGCTGTAAATACCAAGTTTACACACATTTGGAAGTATTGTAAATTCGTAAGACAACAAAGTCATAGTACAAGACGTGCTCTCTTTAAATGAGTGAATTGAAAATCAAATCTCAATGAGTTACCACTTTGTAAGTTTATTTAAGTAAAAGTTAGATGAATAAAACACCAATTCAACTATGAATAAAAAGTGGAAATGAAAGGAGTATTATAGTTCAATTATTTGGGAAAGATGTGATATCCTTATCTTAATTAAGGATGCATGGTTGGTCTAAAATTATTGACTGTTTACAATTATAATTACACCAACTAGTATAATAAACAGTTGTGTTTTTATTATGGCAGTCAAATCAATCAAGTATAGACGTAAATACATATCTAAATTCCTGACTTCTATTAAATTTACTATGAGTGATTGACTTGAAAACACGGAGTGTAAATGAGCACACTTTTTTAACATTATTACAACCCGTCAATATGTACTCCTCTGTCACTTTTCTATGGTTATATTTGGTTTTTACGTAAATATTGAAAAAAAATAAAAATTTGAAAGTATACAAAATTAGAATATAAAAAAGTAAGTAAAAATTTTAATAAACGGAAATATCTGCTTTGAGAGTATGTAAATGTTTTCGTAAATGAATATAGTTTCTTTGGCAATATGTATATATTTTAGTAAATGGAAATAATTACATTGAAAAAAGGTAATATGATGATAATTAAATGTATTGGGAGTGTGAAAATATGAAGGTAATGCGTAAAATTAGTATCCCATTTTAGGAAAGTTTAGAAATGTAGAGAGGCGCCCATAAAATACGTAACCATAGAAAAGTGAGAGAAGGAGTAATAGGCTAGCAGAGGAAAAAGAAAAAAAATTTACTTAGGGTGATTTTCAGTTGCTTCCCTGAGCTCCTTGAGAGGTTCTGCTTCGCGTGGATAAACACTAGTTTCTAGAATATACTGCATCAAAATAATAACAGTAAGGTTAATTCTAAGCACAACATCAAATAAATTTCAGCATTACAATCCAAAGATCAATAATATGGATCAATAACTCGAAAGCGAGATTGAATGCAAGACTAACATTGTGCAATTCCTCACTCTGCAACAACCCTGTATTCTTCACCTGCTTCTTGATATCAAACTCCTCCTTCGCCTGCTTCTTGAGATCAAATTCCATCTTAAATTTCCTGCACAACTTCTTATGTTTAGAGTTTCTTTAGTTGAAAGTTTTTGTTCAATGGACATGCAAAAAAGACCTCATAGATCTGTAAATGGCAATGAGAGGGGTAGTCCTGTAGGAATATAGGATTACGTACTTCACCACTAGTGTGAAATCCTGATCATATTGTTGATTCAAAATGAAGAACTTACTCTGAAATATTTGCTAAAACAACAGATTATTTCCAATATATAAAATGTGTATGCAAAAACTATTTATAATGATATTAGTATACATCAAATAGTACTTTTAAGGTAACTTCCAATTTGGATAACTTTTACAAAAGTTTTTGCATGTATTGGTTGTATAGTAAATTTAATGTATATTCGGTTATTATATATTAAAAGTTATTCATATTATCACAAAGGTTACCTTTAATCACATAAAAGTTACACTTATTATCTAATTACTTTTATTCTCACAAAATTGCCCTTAAACTATAAAAAATTACCTATAAATTAAACTATCAAAAGCTACCTATATTTTTTTCTCTTTTTCTTCCTGTCACACAGTAAATTTCTGTACAGCCGGTTTTTTTTTAAAAACATTTGTCTAACTTTTAAGTTTCTCTAATCTAACTACTATAAATCTGATATCATAATAGGTAATAGGATAGGTTTTTATGAAGGCAACATATTTATTCACTCATTAAGATTTGATTTTTACTCAAATGTATAGTATTTATTGTACATTCAAATAGTTTGTGATGTATATGCCGACATACAATGTACTTATGTACTCCACTTGTGATGTATATGCCGACATACAATGTCTATTGAAAACAATTTTTAAATGATACAAATATGCCTGCATTAATTGCATATACATTATTATTTTATCTGTTTCTTTTTTGATGCATCATTTTCTAAATAAGAAAGTTTCAAATTTGATGCATCACTAATCATACATTTTAGTTAATAAATTATCTCTATCTCCCTCATATTATACAGGACCTCTTTTTTGATTCTTCCTATCTCTTTTATCTCTAAAATCTATTTAGAAGTCCGTATTTTTACAATGCATCTAAAAAAATGAAAGATATATTACAAATAAAATTAATCAACCTTGTTCGTTCTCGCATCCGTCATAACAAGATTCCACTACTGAGTAACCCTTTATCATTTACATTTATTCAACAAATTTCCTTTAACGTAAAGATTTATTTGTTATTGGAATTATTTGAATCAGATAAAAAACAAAAACTGAAAAACGTATAGATACAAACATGTTGAGTGGGTGGGCTCCTCACCTCATATGAGTCATATCCATCTTTAATAAATATTGATTGTAAATTTGGAAGTTGTGCTCTATTAAAGAAATCGTGATACTACAATGTACTAGTGGTTTCCAACGATAAATCCACCGATTTCTTTATCAAATCATGTAGTAACGTATTACGCACGCAATTAATATAAGTAATTTATGAAGTTTGTTTCTTAATTTTTTTTTTCACAATATTATCTCTTTAATTCTAATTAATAATAATAGTGGGTAATATTAGTGGGTTTAAAAATTATTGATAAAATATAATTAAAAAAAAATGTTGATATGTCATGTAGGCTAAATTTTTTTTGAAGGGAAGGGAAGGCTAAATAATAAAATTTGACTTCCCTAAAAAGAATATAAAAAAAAAATTAAAATGGAATTTTAATTTTTTTTGAACTAAGATGTCTTTTTTTTAAAGAATGATAGTTATTTATTAAAAAAAAAAAAACATAAGAGAAGATATTTTGAAAAAGTGAAATTTATCATCCAAAACCTCCATTTCATTTTATTGTTACAAGCTAAGAGACGCACGCACATATGTAATAAGTAATCTATCAACCTTGATTCTCTGTTTTTTTTTCCACAATATTATCTCATTAATTGTTCTAATTAAAAAATACTAGTGGTTTTAAAAATTGTTGATAATAAACAATAAAAGAAATATGTTCTTAAACAAAATGTTGATGATGTTATGTAGGCTAAATAATAAAATTTGACTTCACTCAAAAAAAAGTTTTACAAGAAAAGATGGATTTTCTTACTTTTCTTTTGAACAGATATGGTAGTTTTTTTTAAAAGGATGGTAGGTTTTTTTTTTTAACAAAAGAAAAAAAGTGAGAGGGGTATTTATTTTGGGAAAGTGAAATTTAGCACCCAAATCCCTCTTTCACTTTATATATACAAGCTACGAGACACACGCAATACGTACGTATGCAATATAAGTAATCTATCAAGTTCGATTTTCAGTTTTTTTTCCCACAATATTATCTCCTTAATTCTAATTTAAAAAATATACGTGGGTTTAAAAATTGTTGATAAAATATAAAAAAAAAAATAATATGTTATTAAAAAAAATATGTTGATGATGTCATGTAGACTAAATAATAAAATTTAACTTCCCTAAAAAAATTTAACAAGGATGATAGTTTTTTTATTAGAAAAAAAAAAGAAGCATGAGAGGCGTATATTTTTTTTTTTTAAACACATAATAGACGATATATTAATTACTTAAAATGTTTACAACAAGAAGCCTCAAACGGTACGCAAAATTAGAGGCTGAGATATTAACCAGTACATATGACCTCAAAACAGAAACAAAATTAGAAATCAGCCAACTAAGAGTACAAATAGTGCCCCTCCGAAAAGCTGTAAAACACAAACAGAAAACAAACTTAGAGTTTATAGATAGATTGCCAGGGGATGGATCAGACTTCTCGCACCCCATATGGAGTGTGACCAATACTCATTTCCAGACCGAAGGCAGCAAGCTCATGAGCTACTGCATTGTTGTTCCTTTTGAGAGGGGCACTATTTGTACTCATTATTATTATTATTATTATTATTTGGAGCTTTGTTGTGTATTCAACAATTTCCATTATGACGATGTCGAGTTCACAACTTCAATGTACATTCGAGCTTATAATAATATATCCCAAAAGCATTCTTCATTCTAGTAATCCTAACGAGCTCCTAAATAACAGGGGGCATTTAATTTGTCATTGTGATATTAAGGTTTTAATGTGAAATCCTTATCTGTATGCTGTCTTGTACAAATTTAGGAAAGTTTTACTAGACTTTATAGTAACTAACTTACTACTATGGGAGCATATTGTACAAACATCGAGAACGGAATGAAAAGAAATAGATAACTGGAAAGAAATGAATCATCTAACTTTCGTCTTTTTATTTGTTTGGTTTAACAATAAAAAGGAATCATTTAAATTTATTAACTCCTTAAAAAAGCGATTTAGACACTTTTAAAGTGAGGGGGCAACCGGGTAAGAATTAGGTATCCCTATCGTCAAAGCGTCTTTAGTGGGGATTGATCCCCTAACCTCAAGATTAAAAGGTGTAATATTCCTAACAAAACCAAGCTTAGCTTGGTGCTCTAAGCCTTTGGTATATCGATCACATAGACTGTAGACATGTACGTTTGTTAACATAATGCATGGATACATTCTAGTAATATAAAAATTTTCCATAAACACAAAACAAATGATGCGAATCCAGAGAGATGAGAGCAGAAGAACAAAAGTTGGGGAAAGCAAGCAAGCAAGATCCACAAGGGTAGAGCCACATAAAACCATGGACTTAAATCGCTTACGTATTATTCGTATGTACGCTAAAGCATCAACAACAAAGTTAACTCAAATATTCTTAAACAAAAAAAAAAAAAAAAAAAAAAAAAACATGAACTGAAAATTAATTGAATAAGCATGGATTGAAAAGAAAAGAAAGGCAGAAAAGAGTAGTAGATGAATAAGAAATATGACGTACCAAGTACTAAGGACTAACAGATTAAGGAGCTTCTTATTTAAGAACCGAGAGAAGAGTGTGTAATGAATGGAATGAGGCCTTCCAAAGGGAGGTTTGATAGGTACCTGGACATACATATCAAGGGGCATAAGAGACATTTCGCATGAAATTTACCCATCTCTCTCCTCCTTTCTCTCACCCCCATGTGCTGAATTTAAGTGTACCACTGGGTGATTAATAGTATCACTAGATGATCAAATAGTATCATTGAACATTCAGTGGTACTATATATTCATTCAATGGTACTGTATATTCATTCAGTGGTACTAACTACGTGTAGAAATAAAATCACTACATAATCAATGATATTATATAAGCTTTCAGTGGTACATTTAAAACTGGTCTCACGTGCCCATCTCTCTCCTCCTTTTCTTCCACCCCCATGTGCTTTACAATACTTTTCAATATTTTAATGTTTGATATGTATTTGCACATACATATCAAACCTACATTAGTATTTCCTCGAATGGAATAGCTTACACGCTTTAAATAGAATTGTAGTATCATTTTTTTTTTCCAGATTTTTATACAACTGCTCCACGTGTGTTACTTTATTTGTATCACCATCTCCTTGATTTCTGACAGTTGTTATGTTTTGTACTCTGTATGCGGCCGGCCACACCATGTGGTCATTTGTAAAAGAACAAAGTAATCCCAATAACACTGACCGAGTAATTCCTGTAATACTAACCGAAACACAGACGAATAAATAATCCTTGTAACATTGACTGAATAACCCTTATAGCACGAACAAAATAACTCCCATAAGGACTGACCATACTGTGTGGCCAGTCATATAAAAATTTGTATACGGCATATTATATCTAATAAAGTAGTAAAGATTTGAGGTAAAAATAATCAAACTTTTCCAATTCGTTACTGCCATGTAAAAGCATTAAATCCAACAATAAAATGTCAGCAGGCCCAACTAGCTTCAATACATTGGGTATCAGTTATCACTCAGTCAACTACAATCCAATATGGTAACACTCTATTTCAAAACTATTGGCTCATCAAGAGAAATGATCCATAATGGAAGTGAAATTACATCCAAAATCATATGGCTATAAAAGAAATAAGTAAGCAAGAAATGTTATATGAAATATGAGACAATATTTTTTCAAACATGTACGAAAAATAACCAATTATCTTTCCCTTCACATATTCGGATGTGTGTTCTAAGTTCTATTAAAACACATCACTGATTGCTACACCCTTGCTAATAGAGTAATAGGAGAGTAACATCTAACATAGCATAAAAGATCATATTTTTAAACCATATACTCCAGGTTACCATGCATACATACATAGAAAAATTGCTTTTTAACATTTATCATCTAAGAAAGCTAAACATAGAATTTAGTACGTGTTGATTGCATTTGTACTACATACAATAAGATCAAAATAACTAAAATGGTTCTACTGTTGATATAACTAGGAATCAAACATACAAATAATAAACTTTTCTATCTGGTCAATCATATCCTTAGCTTTCTTCCAACCTAGCTTTTAACGAACTTCATGCAAATAGGTGGATTAACACCAGCCAATGCAAGTATAGCACTTGGCAAACTCCATATTCCATCACCACAAATCAAACCCGAGGCAACTGCAGGCGCGAATGCATCAGCTTTAGCCTTATTCCTGTACTCCCACACGAAGAGTATCAAGCTACCAACACACATGTCGATAGCAAAGTAGCCTCCGAGGTAGAAAGGTATAGCCATGGCCATCGGAATTGGTATAAACCTCGAGTACTTCTCCCCTACGACATCCTTAACTCCATTGATTCCCATGGCAACGATGAAGAATATTATGCATAACAGGAGACAGTTCTTAGGCAATGTACTGACTCCCTCGACTCCAAGAAGAGCTATGTTTCGATACACAGCAGCGAATGGTGCAGGATATTTGGACTCTGGCAATCCAAGATCAGGGTATGCATTGTAGAAAATCCAGAAAACAATTGGAGATATTACACAGCCCATTGCAGTCCCTACTATTTGGCTCACAAACATCGATCGAGGTGAAGCTAGTGTCATGTAACCTGTTTTAAAGTCTTGAGTAAGGTCTGATGCTGTTGAGACGATGTTCATCATAACACCACAGGCCGCGAGCCCTGCAACAATCCCACCATGAGAAGCACCAGCCCACCCTCCAATAATGAAGATTGCCAACTTTCCGTAAGTAGATGCCAAGGACCAGTCAGTCAGCCCACAACCATACGCGTTACAGAAGGCTAACACGGGTGCAACAATATACAGGACTAAGACATGGTACCAATTGAGCTGATGGATGATCTGTGGCAGTACACCAATAGCAATCGCGGCAATAGCAACATAGCCAGCTGCTGCAGCCCAATTTGGAATTCTGTCCTGGAGAAAATACTGAGTTCTTCGTTGGTCATCAAATGATTCAGGGGAGACTTCAGGTGTGGGGCGTGCACTATAAGGAATAATTGCACCTGATTGTTTTTTCTTGTACTCTTTGTACAAGGCTATCACTGATCGCCCGAAAACTTTGACAAAATTATAAAGTCCATCTCCTAGGATAATTGCTATGGCAATAAAAACCTGCAATAAAACATGTGAAATTAAATTTAAGCACCCCAATTTATTTGTTGCATCAGACAGTTTTGAGAAAATCATTTTTTAACAAAGAAAAAGGCGTTACCCTGTAACCCTGCAGGCCATGAAGGTTGCTGTCCCCTGCATCTGCGGCGTACCAATGACCTTTCTGTTTTGCTATGAGAGGCCACATGACACCCCATGATAAAATCGCTCCGAGTAGTATAGATATGTTGATAAGATACGGGCATATCATCCCCACACCCACATATGTTGCAGAGAAATCGAAGTAAAACCTGCAGTAATCACATAAAAATGAAAATGAAGTATGATGTTAAACTTGATTCATTATACGTAGTACAAATTTTACTAGCTGAGTGTAGCAAGTCAACAATTAATAGGGAAAAGATTTAATTATTTTCATGTAACACATACTTCTGTTTATAGGCTTGTAGACCGAAAGTTGGAAAACTTGCAAAACCGCAATCATCACCTCCTGCAAAGAACCATTGGAAGAAGCTCCAAAAGAAGCTGAAAGTGAAGAATTTGCCTAACATCTTCACCTTCTTCCTACAATCAAAATCAAAACATAAGAATTTGAAAAGCAAAAAATGAGCCGCATTACATTGTTTTATCCCAATTACAAATTCTGTACAATACATTCAAGCATGTAAATCATACTTGGCTAATACAGCACCCTCTGGAGTATGGAAGCTGTTGATAAGGTGCGCGGTAGCAGTCCCACTCGGGTAAGTAAGTTTAAAGTCGACGATCATAATCTACATGAAAAAAAAAAAAAATCAAATCAAATCAAACATCTATGCAATGGTTTATAGAAAATAGCATTATTAAAAATGTTCGTAACAACATTTTATGCAATGTGTTACTCCATATGTTCGAGTTTTGATAACGAGGAAAGTCGTACCTTACGGAGAGGAACAACAGAAAAAAGGCCGATGAAGCTAACAACAAAGAGAAAGCCAGTCATCCATCCTAAGGAAGGATTCTTGATGTCTAGTAAAAAGGCTTTGTCACCTAGCTCAGCAACTCTTTTACTCATACCAAGTACATAACTCCCAGCACCACCTGTTTAGCAATTGTTATTAACTTAATTATTACAAAGAAAATGAAAATCTTAATTATTGAATAGTTTTGCATGATGATTTGATGACAGATTGTGATTCCCATTTTATCCAGTTTTATTTACATTATGTAGGTATAAGATCCGTATAATATCAATATTGATTATTATAGTATCTAAGAAATTTAGCTTAGTTAAACTTCATATTATAGGGGGTCCATGTTATACTCAGGTGTTATTGATTATTATAGTAATTCAAGTTTTGTGAGCGAACTTATTTCTCGACAATATTTGCTCTATATATAACATGAAATTTTAGGGTTTAAAAATTAAATACTTCATCCGTTTCTTTAGATTTCCTTTGTATTTTATGCATAAGCTTGTCCATTAATGTATTGTAAATTTTGTATTTGCAAAAAATTATAAAATGTTACTTTGGAAAAACACATTGCAAAAGAATACGAAGTATATACTAGTTTCATTGCATAGATTTAGGATCGTTCATTTCAACCAAAATAAAATTGTTGGTATATTTGTTCTTTCAAAAAAAAAAAAAAATATAATAATTATAATAAAATTTTTGGTATAGTTAATTAATTTTCTCTATTAATTTCTTATTTTATCTCGATATAACTGAAAAAACTCGATCAAGATTATTATTATTATCAAAAAATTTAAATTTCATGCTTAATAACCCTAATTCTTGAATCTTGAAAACGTTATATTTAGGAAGATTATCAATAATACTACGCTAAAAGATAACCTAACCTAAAAAAAATACAACCAAAAGAACTCCAATAATATTATCAAAAATAATATGTATAACATCAAATGGACTAAATTAATATCAAGAAAAATCATAATTAAGAGTAATTTGATTAAGACGCTCAAAATTAAAAACTCACCGGAGAAGGCGATGCCGGAGGAGGCAACAACACAAGTCTGAATAACAGTATTCTCTTGACGAGTAAAAGGTTGTTTAAGATAACCAGATTTCTCAAGCAACTTTGTCCAAGTCTTGACGAAGAAAAAACCCAACAATCCAGCCGAAACATTGAGTGATGGTATAATCCCAGTAGTAAGGTTGAGTTTCATCACAATGAATGTAAATAAAATGCTCAACACGAAGCTTACGACGAATGCACGAATTGTTAACTGTTGTTTCCATGATGGCACCTCCGTACCCTCGAATGTCTTCTCTACTGATGCTATTAGAGCTCTGTCTGTTGCCGAATTGTCGATTTCGAGGGACGATGTTGGCTTGTTTTCCTCCTCATCAGTAGCCATTGCTATGGTTTAGCTAGGTTGTTTTCTTTATTTTAATTTTTTGGTTTGTTATTCTTGTATTATGAATTTATGATAGTGAAGGAATGAATGAATCATATTGTTTAAGTCCTATTTATAAGGGAGGGTTTTGAGTTTTTCTTCCCTACTAGAGTTTACCGACTTTTTGATAAATTTATTGAATTATTTTTAAGTGGAGTTTTGATTTAGATTTGATTTTTTTTTTTTTTTTTCTTTTTTTTTATCTTTACTATCTTTCGAATTGTTTATCTTTACTATCTTTCGAATTGTTAAGGGAGCGATGCAAGCTGGGCTTGCGGCCAAGCCTTGCCTTGCGCAAGGAGCCAGGCTAGCCATGCTAGCCTACTTAGCCCTTGATTGGCTAGGCCATATTGTTGGGTTTCGTAGCGTCCAACGCTACGCGGAAGAGAAACCCGCCCACTAATTAAAGCAACTAAACATGCAACCATATAATTAACAACATAAGAGAGAGAAAGAGAAAAAACATTCTTACCCTTGACGCGTGCTTCGCTCGATTCACGAGCTCTTACTGCAAAGCTCGCACCCTCGACCCGACCCGAGCGGTCTTAATCCCGAAGGTTAGTTGGGACTTGACCAAATAAAACTAGAGTATTACGAACTTAAAGGTTTTCTCACTAATGATGAGATGCCTTATTGAGTTCAACTAGTGATTTTTCTCAAACCCAAAACTTAGGTATTTATAGGGAATGGAGGCTTGATCTCCCTTCTCCCACCAATTTGGGAGATTTGCATTTACCTCTATTTTATTTTAATCAAAAACAAAATAAAAATGCAAGACAATCAACAAGCTCCAAGTGTCACATGGAGGGAGAGAGTTGGTGGGGACCACCAAAGGGGGGGGGGGAGGACCACCAAATCACCTTGCTCCCCAAGCCAAACACCAACCCCTTGGTCCCCTCGACCGGCTGACCATGCCACATGGCTGGCTGGCATCCTGCCTTGGCTGCCAAGGCTGCCAGGTGGCGCCTAGCTCCAAGGCTGGCAGCCCAGCAAGCCAGCACGCAACACATGCGCAGCCAGCGAGCACGCAGCACATGCGTAGCTAGCCAGCACGCATGCATGCGATGGTGCTTGGTGCTGCTACGCAAGCACGCACAGCCCAGCCAGCTTGCACGCTACTGCGATGCTGCTGCTTGGTGCTAAAGGTGTGCATCGTGCCGGGCCGTGCCGTGCCACTGGCCTAGCGGGCTGGCTTGCTGGGCTACGTGCTGGCCTGCTGGGCTGCTGCCTTTCCTCTCTCTCTGTTTTTTATTTATTTATTTATTTATTAATAGTTTATAGCTTATAATCTTATATTATTATTTTTCTAAAATAAATTAAGTTTAATATTTATGTTTTATTATATTTTATATTTTATATTTAATATTTAAATTTATATATTTAGTTTATACTATTACTTTATAGTTTAATGTTTATAATTTATTATATTTATTTTATTATTATTAATTATTAATTATTATAATCTTATTTTTGTTATATTAATTTACAAATTATAATTTAACGGGAAAAAAGGCAAATTGGACTTTGGATGTGAATAATGCATACTTCATATTATTATTACTTGAAAAAATTGTACAATGATAATAATGATAAAAATCATACAAGGATATTAAAAAAAAAATTGATAATGATAAAAATCGTAAAATGATAATATTGATAATGATAAAAATCGTACAATATACAAAAATTGTCTCTTCTTCTTCTTCTTCTTCTTCTTCTTCTTCTTCTTCTTCTTCTTCTTCTTCTTCTTCTTCTTCTTCTTCTTCTTCTTCTTCTTCTTCTTCTTGTGCGTCTTTGTCTTCGTCTTCGGCTTCAAGGTCATCGGCTAGTTGCATAGATTGGGAACTAGCCGAACCCGAACGGTCGGAAGCGGAGGTTCCTTCATCGTTGTCGTCGTAAGAACGGTCTTGTGAGCGATTTTCCGCATCCAACCAATCTTTGAAATACACGCACATTTCAAGTGTTTCGGATTTTAGACTTGTTCTTCTATCGTCTAAAACCCTCCCGGATGCGCTGAAAACTCGTTCGGAGGCAACGGAGGAGACTTGGATACCAAGAATTTCTCGTGCCATTGCCGCCAAAGTTGGATGTTTCGTGCTTTGTTGTTTCCACCATGCAAGGAGGTCGAGGCTTTTTATCTCATCGTCGTCCATGCCCTTGGTGAAGTCGTAACTCAGGTACATTTGCAACTCCGAGACATCGCTTTGCGTTCTACTTATTGATGAATCACCTAAAAACCTTGAAATCAAGTTAGTTCCTTGTGAAAATAAATGTTTGGCCTTCTTACTTACGTTTTTGGATGGTTGGGAAGGGCCTGAGCGAGGAACGATGCCATATTTGGTTTCATAGACTCTATATAAAGCAAAAAACTGATGCTTCACATTAGTCTTGTAGGTATCTACATCATCGTCAAGAAGCATGCATTGAAAGTAAATGTCAACTAACATAAATGTATTTTCATACTTTTGCCTAGGATCTAATATGGAAGCAAAAATATAAATCAAAGGAATTTCACTATAATATTTACGCCACTTTGTTTCCATTGCTGGAAGATACTGATCATAATCACTTTGGTTGCGATAATCAGCGAAAAGTTGGGCGAGTAAACATGCATTTGAAAGAAAGTTTTGAGCACAAGGATTATAAACAGAAGAAAAACAAAACGTCATGTTATATAATAACTGTAAAAATTGCATATATCGTTCACATTTATCCCAATCATCCTCATATATAGCATTGTTTGGAAATTTTTGGTTGTAAAAAATTGTCAACGGATTCTTGTACTCAATTGCCTTGGTTAACATGTCATAGGTGGAATTCCACCTAGTTGGGCAATCGGTTTTGATTTTTTATTGCCCTTATCTTTTGTTGTCTTATAAAACTCTTCCATTTTTGGTATCTCATGTTTGAGCTATTAATAGACATAATAGCTTCTCTAATTTTGTTATAGTATGGACCCATTGCTCTAAGTCCATCCTGTACACACAAGTTAAGAACATGGCAAACACATCTAGTATGAAGTGCGTCACCATCTAATATTACATCGGTCAAGTTTTGTTTGACATAATTAGCAGTATATGTCATTGCGGTTGCATTGTCAAATGTCATAGACATGATTTTTTCTCGAAGGTTGTGTTCATTTATTATTTCCATTAAATGGTGAGCAATGTTAATACCGGTGTGGGGGTATTCCAGCATTTTGAAATGGATTATTCGTTTTTTAAACAACCATTGATCATCTACCCAATGGCAAGTCACACATAAATAGTGATATTTATAAGCACTATCCCAAGAATCGGCAGTCAAAGACACTTTACAATTAAGTTTACTCAATTCGTCTTGTAACTGCATTTTGTACTCTAGGAAGATTTTCATGGCGGCGGAACGAACGGTTTTCCTAGAGATTCTTTTATATTGGGGTTGTAATGCTTTGTTGATGTAAGTGTTAAATGGGTCACTTTTGGAGAAAAGAAAAGGTTGTTCGGCGTGTACTATCATTTTCCCTAGTTCATCCCTATCCCTCTCATAGTTGAATGTAAAGCCGTGTGGATGGAATTGGGAAATTTTGGCTGGGTTAGATCACTAGCTGGTTTTGCACAACTTCTCATGTGTCTACTTAAGTGTCCCGTCCCCGATTTGGATTTTGCCGAGAATGAATGACCACATGTTTTACATTTTGCTCTTGTTTGGTCCCTACTTAGGAGGAAATAACGCCATACCTCACTTTTGCGACTTTTGATATGTACTATCTCACTTTCGGTTAACCATTCCTCATGTGTGTTTGGGAATTGGGTGTTTGTAGAATCGGGGATTTGTTGGTTAGTAGTAGAACCGGAGGCATTTAGGGTATCTTGTTGGATACCTTGGCTAGAATAAAAATTTTGTGGGTCAAAGAAATTTGGTGGGAATTGACCGAATTGTGGAAATTGGTTTGGTGGTGGAAATTCGGGCATATTATTCATGTTATAAGGTTGATAACCGGAAGTACTATCGTGCCTAAATTGGTCAAAGCCTAGGGGGACGTTACCAGGGTCATTGGTTGGAATGGACGGACTCGGAATTTAGGGGCTCGTTAGATTAGGTGATTCCCTAGAACTACTACCACGGACAAGTCGGGGTTTCCCCTTCCCCCTAGATGATGGGTTGTTTGATGCCATAATTAAAAATAATAATTTTAATAATAACTAATTAACAATAATAATAATTAATAACAACAATTTTAACAATAATAATAATAATAATAATAATTAATAACAACAATTATAACAATAACAATACAACAATAATTGTAATAATAACAATAACAACAATAATAAATTAAATATTAGTTTAGATCTTACAACCGTGCTTCAACGCTTTCCACTAATTACGATTACGAACTTTTAATTTTTTTCGATATTAAGAAATAATATTTAGAGAATTTAAGAGAATTATTAGAGAATATAAGAGATTAAGGATTATTAGAGAATATAAGAGATTAAAAGAAGAAAATTGTGAATTTGTGATTTAGAAAGTGAATGGAATTGGGTATTTATAGGGAATTTGGAAAAAAATTTGGGAAAAAAATGGTCGTTTATGGCCGTTGGAGCAACGACATTATAGCCGTTTATGGTTGTTGGCACGCGGGCCATGCCTGCGGGCCAGCATGACGGGCCAAGAGCGGGCTTGTGCCGGGTCGTGCCAGAAAAGTCAATACCCTGTCCGTGGCACGGCCCACGGCACGCCCGGCGACCACCGTGCCAGGTGGGGCCGGCTGGCAGGCCGTGCCGTGCCGCGTCGAAGAGCGTTCCGTGCCAGGCCGCCCGCGGGCCACCCCGGCCCATGCCCACCTTTACTTGGTGATGTTCGCTAGCAAGCACGCATGCCCAGCCCATAGCACAAGCACGCATAGCGTGCTGCTGTGCGAGTGCTTTGCGTTGCATGCTTGCAGGTGGGTGCGTGACCCAGCACACTAGCATGCGCTAGCTGCCTCGTGCACCAACCTTACTAGCATGCTTGGCCTAGCACGCAATGCATGCTAGGCTTGCGGTGCGCATGGTAGCTTAAGCTAGCCTAGCATTCGCATGGTTAGGCCAATGCGAGGCTACGACCTAGCTCGAACCTGTCGCTTGTTTGATTTCTCGTCTTGTTGAATTCTAAACTCAACTCGACTTGCGACGCTCTAAGCTCGACATCCGACGTCTTTGTTCGTTATACTCTTATGACTCATCTAATCCTTCGGATTGATTCGTCGTCTCGGATCGGTTATTCGATAGGGGTGCGACCCGAAGGGTTCAGTCAAGATTAAGCCGTAATATTAATTATGCATTAATATTACTGATCAAAAGCGGCCTCTACCTAGGAATTCCGATCACTTGACCTCACTTAACAATTAGCTTTCTAATAGTTCCGA